TGATGCAGAGACTGCTGCTTCATTGGCTATCTTTATCCGCATTTGTTCATGTGTATGCGATAGAAGGGTTAGGTCATCTGTAAAGTCCGAATCGTTTAAATGGTTCTGAGCTGTTCATTGCATTCCGTGTTTTCCCTCAGATTTCCAAGTCTTCATAATGCAGTTGACCACCAGAAGGAAGAGTAAGGGAGACAGTAGACAGCCTTGTCTGAATCCGGTCCATACTTGAAATGCATCTGCCAGCTGTCCTCCATGAAAGACCTTGCACTGTAGTCCGTCGTGCGATTTCCGGATAATGCTGACAATCTTCTCAGGAACTCCGTAGTGTCGAAGAAGTTTCCATAATGTCCTCCTATCAACACTGTCAAGAGCTTTGTCATAATCAATGAAGTTGATTTACAACGAACAAGTTCCACTCAATTGATCGTTCGATGATTATCTCGAATGTCACAATTCGGTCTGTGCACGACTGATCCCTACGGAATCCAGGCTGTTCCAAGTGCATTCTAGGCAAATAAAGCGACTCACATTATTCGCCGCAAATCTCCTAAGCAATCGCTTTAATTCGTTTGTCAACCAACATTGGTTGTCAAGTGATTTGTAGAACTATTCTAAACAGGCACTACATTTAGCTTTTATGATTGTCGTGGTGTGCGTTTAACCCGAGTAATTTTTAAGATACTGGAAAATATTATTTTCACACCATTTAAAAACGTGAACAGAAAGCTAATTCTCTGTGGAAATATTCATAAAATTACTAGTGGCACTGTAGATCACCAACGTAGATGATCTATGTAGAACGATTGTAGGTCTACTTGAGTTAGACGGAAATGGTGTGACGAACCAATCACACTACGCTGTCAGCATCTATCATGGATTGCCCCTTCAATGTATCAAAGTACTATGGTCGCTTTGAAGACCGTATACCACGAAGCATGTTTTTGTGGAAATATATTAGTAAGAATGAGTACAGAGAACATAGCAAGACCACCATCGCATGCGCCAGTTCATGTCATACGATTAACTGATGCGCGTAGACATTTCACTGCCCCTACAGCACTATGAAGTTAGTGCTTTAAACTGTTAGAAGCTACATATATAAACAAACTTAATCGCTGCCAGGACTGTTTTCTACAAGGGCCTAAGTAAAAAGTTGCTATCTATGGACTGTGTTTTCAAGACGAAACAAACCATTAACTTTGTTTCGTCCTGTCACTTCGTATATACCATGGTGTTCGCAACCTTATAATAGTTTAGATTGTTTAGTTTTCTTTTCTTGTTGATTGATACATTTTTAAATTATCACCCTGTAGGTAAGTTACATAAGTCAACTTGCTGACAAATGGTCCAAATATAGCTGTCTTCGGCAAACTTTGTTCTTTCCTTAAAAAATGACGCTGGAGAATTTTTTAGAAAGGAATCTAAGCATCAAAATCACTCGAGGCTACTTCGTGTAACACTTAAGAATGCTACCGACGTGGAGGATGTCCTACTAGTGAGTCATTTACTGAAGTCAGATGGGAATTTAAGAATACTGCCTGACATACCGTATTCTGAGTGCAATCTCATCCGGAACATCCCCAAAGAAACTCGCGATCAGTTTTTCCGCGTCAGAAATATAATCGTGCAAGGTATACTGGAAAATACGGACCCTACTCAATCAAACTCTGACATCAGGGATGGTGATTCTAGACCCCGTCTAATTAAGATAACTTTCCCATCTTCACACATGGCGGCCGCAACTCTGGAAGCATTTTGTGCCAACAGACGTCGACTGCCACCTGGAATCCACATGCACCCGAATAAGCCATACGAAGCCAGGACCAAACACAAAGGCAAGTTGGAGTTGACCATTCTACTTGTGGACTGTCTTGATGATAAAAAAGCATGTACAGGACAGGGCCTACGGACTCGGCAAACCTCATATAGGTGGGCTACCTGTCCATTCACGTAAGGCTCATACAGACAAACAGGACGAAGCTCACGCGTTCCAAATTGAAAGCATAAACTGCTTATATATGAACGCCGCGAGTCTACCAAACAAATTGGATGAACTACGAGAACTTAGCAATGCTAATAAGGAATATCTGAAACCTGGATATCTTCTCAATTCTCGGACCACGAGTTAGCATTACCTGGGATGTCTTTGTTCCGCAATGACAGAAAATCAGGATGTGGGGCGAAGTAGCTGTTTACATACGCTCTTGCTTGGAGGTGCATGAAGTTCATAATCTCGAGTTTAACAATCTTGAGGAATCTATATGGTGCTCTGTAAGATTGTCCAGTACTTCGAGGTCACTAGTCGGTGTCATTTAAAGGAAGCCAACTGCCGACATCGAGTACGATAGTCGTATGCTGGAGGGACTGTCCCTCTCTACGCGTCTCGGTTTCACTCATATCCTGATTCTATGAGAATTCAATCGCAATAGAGCCAATTTCGTGGAGGTGAACATTCCCTCATGAAGTCAGCAACTCGTTGGAGAAACAGTCAGACGCCATCGCGCTTAGACTGTGTATTCACAAACGAAGAATTTCTAGTTGACAAACTCTCAATCTTGGTTTCCCTGGGAAAATGTGATCATGCCGTCATAGTATTCAGTTTTGTCACCAAAACTAAGCTAAGATACTCCACCAATATCTCGCGTTGGAATTTTAAACGGTTGAATGTGCCAGCTCTACACGACTATCTACAACAGGTTGTTTGGGATGTTCACCCCCAACTCGATGTGGATGGGCATTGGGACTTCTTACTGCACACGCTCTTACGTGCTACAAACCATTTAGTTCCTCAAACAGTTCCCCAAAGCTGCAAGCCACCTACAATAATCAAGAACCGTACCCTTCGCCTGCTAAGCCGCAAACGGCACTGTTAGGCGGAATACAAACGAACTGACAACGACGGAGCGTACAGGCAATATAAACATATCAAGAACATATGCACGAAGTCTATAAGAGAAGATAGACTCCAGTACCAGACAAGGCTTATGGACAAATTTGTCTCTAATCCTAAAAGTTTATTCCGTTATGCAGCCTCTCTTCGTCAAGCCAAAACTGGAGTTTCCCAACTGCTGGGTCTTAACGGCCCGACCAACAACGATGGTGACGCCGCTAACCTTTTGTCTGAACAATACTCCCAGACATTTCAACCGACTGACATTAACTTTACTGATGACAGTTTCGTTTGCAATTCCACAGGACTTTCCGAAGTGAACCTAAGTGCTGACTTGGTGTTCCGGAAACTGCAGCACATAAGATTAGGCACTACTGCTGGCCCGGACATGATCCATTCCGCTATACTGAGGGAAGCAGCCTCAATCCTGGCAACGCCGCTTAGCATGATATTCTCAAGTCAAGGAAAACCAATTTTCAAGGGAGGTCGACGCAGCGAACCTCCAAGTTACCAACCGGTGGCTCTTCTCTCCATACCCTCAAAAATCATGGAGTCCTTGATATGTGATGGTATAAACGATTATTTACTGTCCTTAAATTTCTTCTCACCCCAACAGCACGGTTTCAGGAAGGGTTACTCTTGTATTACCAACCTGCTGACTGCGATAGACAGATGGACAAGCACTCTTGATCACAAGAGGAAGGTTGATATCATCTACTTAGATTTCTCAAAAGCTTTTGATAAGGTTAGCCATACATGTCTTATCACTAAGCTCAAACGATTGGGAATCAGACCACCTCTAATCGATTGGCTCACTTCATACCTGAAAAACCGACATTTTAAGGTCAGGGTTAATTTCACTTTTTCTCAGGCTATGGAATGTCCCAGTGGGGTCCCTCAGGGCTCAGGACTAGGACCTCTACTCTTCTCCATCTACATAAGTGATCTATCTTAACAGGTAACGTCAGACTTATTACTTTTTGCCGACGACCTGAAACTTTGGAGAGAGAGATACGCAACCAAGACGATATACAGGCACGCCAGAAGGATCTGACTCGACTTCAAAGTTGGGCAGACGATAGCGGACTTACCTTTAACACTTCAAACTGTAAAGTAGTCCATCTGCGACATGTCGCAAACTACAGTTACAACTTAGGAAACTCCTCTCTAGTAGTATCCCAAGTCGAAAAAGATTTAGGAGTCCTGGTGCCCTATGATTTAAAGTCTTACGCTGTGACAAAAATGCCTTTCGAACAAACCTAGCACTGGTAACATTGGAGCAAATTTTTGGCTAGTTTGACTGAAGAACTTTCCATACAATCTTCAATAGTTTTATCCGTCCCCATTTAGAGTACGGAAACATAGTATTTCCCCCATCGCTCCAAAAGGATAAGGACACTCTGAAGCGTATCCAACGGCGAGCCACGAAATCAGTTCGCGGACTCAAATCTAAGCCTTACGAAGAACGCCTCCATTCACTAGACCTTTACCCATTAGAGTATAGGCGTCTTAGAGGTGATTTATTAATGGCTTATAGTATTCTTAACACTTCTGGACATCCTCTTAAACACCTACTCAAGCTTAGTTCGAATACTAACCTAAGGGGTAACACCCAGAAACTGGAAACTCAACATAGCAAGACGGGATGTAGACACAATTTCTACTCCTTAAGAGTTGTCAGAAGCTGGAATTCGCTGCCGGCCGAGCTAGTCCAAGCGATTTCCCAGGAGTCCTTTAAGAGGCAACTTGATCTATTCTTAAGGACTAAGGATAGAGTCGCACTATGATTTATCAATTTCCTTTCCTGTTTCATTGTTAACATACCTTGGGTTCCTGCCTGGAGGATTTGGTGATCCCCTGCTACTAGACACGGAATCTTGTTAAGCGCAAGCTCCTTCTATTCCGTCAACAACCATTTGAACCATTTGAGCATATCCTCAGTCAAAGGCCTAAGAAACACTGTTAAGTGCAGCCGATTATCCACCACAAACCTCCTAAAGTCAACACACTGGCAGAAAGAACTAGCTATTATGTACAACAATAAAAGTTCGTCATGTGATTTTTTTATTGGATCGAAGTATTGTCCCGCTGGGTTTATTATCATTTATGTAGCGCACTGTTCAAATCATCTTGTATTGTTTACCGTGCGGTAATAACTGCTATCTCTCGGCTCTACTGTTAGGTGTAAGTAAATTATGAGCTCCTACTTAGGGGCAAGCTCTCTTTTGTCTCATGTTGACATTGCGCCGTCCAAAGCCCCACATCAGTGAGATATTTCCAGTTAATTGTTTCAACAAATTACCGGTAAACTTCTTGGCCATCTTAAAGATTTTCTGGTTTTTGGGAGTTATATTCCCATAATGTAAGGTCTTAATGGTTCGGTTCAATGAATAAGAATTTAGGTAAGGGGAATTCGGGAGCATCCATATGTGGATTAATCTATATATGGATTAATTAATTCAACAAATCGATACCATTCTAATTAATCAGGTCCTGTTGCCATTTTGCACTTTCTCTTTGTCTTCATTTTAACATTTGCATCATCCTGCTTAATCTGGGGGATTCCAACAATTGGGTGTACATCACACCTCGATTATGATTTTCTTAGTTTGTTTATAGAAACCGCTAAATTTTACACTATTGACGTAAAAGAATCCACACAGTTACGTGATTTACTTTCCCAACCAACCCTAGCTCAGAAGGAAATAAAACAATGTAAACTATGTAGGGTGCTCAAATTCGATTGTTATTTTGTTACACTTCCGTCATTTAGGGCACGTTGGATATGGCACCCGGCTACATGAAAGCAATGTATCCCTATCATAATTCAATATAAGTTTGTGTACTTGACATTGAACTATATTATCTAAGGACGATTGACATTACAAGACTTCACCTGTTGAAGTATTCGGAATTGGGTTCATACGTTTGATCTTATGGTCAGATAGTATGTCTTAACTACTGTGATAAAAATCAGTAGAGATCCCTGGAAGTGCATTATATCTGTTAAGTGTCTAGACATCACTCACTAATTACTTGTTCAGTGACACATGTTGTGAATCAATAATCGCTACTCTCGTTTCAAGTGGAATTGTTTCTTTTTAATGAAGCCTAATTATAATTACCATCTAATTCTGCATTTCTACTTGTAACAATCTGCTTCTGCGATACTTCGTTTGTTGCTATCATCACAATATCGCAAACACGACCATCATTTTAATTTATTATATATTTATTAGATGGGGTCGGAGGTGTTTGAGATTTCATGTAGTAGTTACCGTAATACCCCAGTATTATCAAGTTTCTGATTTGTTCGATTTTCTGTTTGTTTGTATTAAAATATTCCACAGCTGAACTCGACGAAGCTTACAAACTGGGCCAACTGTTGTCACGGATACTCACTGTTGATCGCTTTTGTCTCTCCACCTGCATATAGAAATGGAGACTTTCGCGTTATACATTTCAGAAAATCTGGGTACGGATGTTGCGGCTGTTCGTCTACTTTTATCCATGTTCATGGGTTTGTTTATCGGCATAGCTCATTTTCGTCATTAACGTTTTTGTTAGGTTATCCTATCGCTTTTCTATACAACATGAAGGCAAGCTCGTGGAAAATTTCCTATCGGCATCTTTATTTGTTTACCTGTGGTGTCCTTTTGTTCCTGTGGAATTTTGGTAGATTCATGTTGTCTTTGTCTTTACCTCTAGGTTTTGATATTGTGCATATGTTTGTTGGGATTTTTGCGACACTGTTTGTTAATTATTTCTTTATGCACTCGAGAACTGCTGTCACCTTTGCTTTCGTGTTTAATATGGTTTGTTTGCAAATAAATTTTAATCTCTATCAACTAAAAGGGATATTTAATTATCGGCTCTCATATATGTAATCGAGGTACCTATGATATAAATTGGACAACACCGTATTGTGTTCTTTGTTTGCGAATGATTGGATTATCATGGGATTTATATGATGCATCTAAAACAGAAGTAAGTATCGGTCACAATGGGTTTTGGGATTGTTTCATTTTTTCAAACTATGGTAAAGTAAATTTCACTTAGTATAGCTACCTTGCCAGAATTTGGACTATATTGGGTTTAGGATATTAAAATGCTTTAAATCGCAAAAAGTCTCATGAATTTCTGAATTGGTTCATGCTCCTAAATTTTCAACTCAAAATTTATAGTTTTAGTTTTTCACATTTCTTTTCCATGAATTACTGAAAATTAGTGGTGATAGGTCGCCCAAAAAATTCGTCAGGAATCTCACATGAAGTGATCAGGATGTCGATCCTTAATACATCTGATGTCTCAATATATTTTGACTGAAATCAGTATTTAGAATTCGTTATCACGAAATAGGGTAGTGAACTGGCTGGTTACCGGTGTTTATTTTCTTACTGCTTAGATAAATTTTTAGGCATTAGCCCCCAGATGCCCTGGTGCGCCCGTGAGTGGGGAGAGTCCTCTCTCCCTCTCGAAATGCTCTCATATGGCCACGCGTATATAGTCTCTTCCAGAGGAGTCCTCCTCACCGCTTTCTCGTGGCGGGGGTGTTGTTTACGAAATCAAGAGGACGAAAAGCGAATGTCCGGCGCTTTAATCGAGTCAGTGGATATGGAGAGTTCACCTAGGGGAGTTGGGAAACCCTGATTCCAAGCCAATGGTGCACGTGCGCTCCAGTACTCTGGGGGAACAAATGGCGTATGAACCAATCGTTAGTCACCGGCTACCATGGGACTGCATCTCCTTACGATGCTCCACTGCCTTGTGGATCAGAGCTTCAGGTCGAGGGCTCCGGATGTGGCCCCCTAAGAAAACCATCTGCTTCGGTTTGGGCACCCGGGCAGTATCGCAGCCCTCATATATCAAATGAGATCTCTGTGGTGCATATGTATTTGGTGCCTACTTGTATTAATATATATGTGTCAAAATAAAATAAATAAATAGTAATCCAGGATAACATTGATTTCCCCTTTTTTGTGTTTTCTTAGAGTAAGCAAGTTTCAGCAAACCTAACATTTCTCATTCATGTTTATCATATGTCATGTGAGTTAGTAGAGGTGAGAACAAACCACAGCACTTTATATTTCGCTCACTGAGTCCGGAGAACAACTTCACTGATATCTTTTATCTTGATCTAAATAGTGTTAACAGTACACTCCTGAGACTATATTAGGTTTTAAATCCGGAATCTATACTTGAAGCATGTATTATATAATGAGCCATGCGATATCTAGATGACGAGTTCTGAATGAAACAAAATGTCCACTTTAATTTTCAATTTCGACTACTATCAAAATTGTAACTAAGATTTAGAAGACTGATATCCTTAAGTTATGGATCAATAAAATATAGTGGAATTTGAAGCATTTGGAGTCAAACGAATTAAATGAAGTTACTCCAAAAGCACTGATTTTAAGTCGGTTTTTAATACTACTATCCCAGTTATCTAACCATATTACTCAAATAATTCTTAGCTTTGTGATTTTGTGTCATTGGTTTTCAAGTTGGTAGTTATGTACACATATCAAATCCACACAGTCATTCGTTGCAGGTTTACAACAATATCCAATTCATAAAACCACTTTTGATTCATACTTTTTTCCTGTCACCTTTGTCACGCAATCAGTTCTGCATATATTCTGGCAATCGTACTCATGCATCTTGATATTTGTTTTCGATTTATTATTTAAACACAAAAGGAGGTATAGGAAGACACCAACTATATACGCGCCACACTTCATTCTATTTGTTTGAGGGCTGGAATACTTCCAGGGAGCCGAAACCGAAGCAGGTAGTTTTTTAAAGGGCCACGCCCCAGGCCTTTGACCTAGAGGTCCAATCCACAAGGCAGGGGGCAATATTAGATGCAGTCACATGGCAGCCAGTGACCAACAATAGGTTCATATTCCATTTCCCCCCTCAGGATTGTGAAGCCCATATGCACCACTGGCTGGGAGCCAAGGTTTTCCAACTCCCTTAGGTGGATCCTTCATATTCATCGACCTGGTTAGGGCTCTGAACATTCGGTTTTCGTCCTCTCAATTTAGTAAACAACACCCTCAGCACTTGACGGTAGTGAGTATGACTTCCATGACAGTGGCTGTATACTTGTAGTCATAAGAGAGCATTCGAAGAGGGAGAGCTGACTCTCCCCACTCTCGATTGTACCAGGGCATTTATATACATATATTATGGCACGCTTCTTTTTTGATTTTGTTAAGTTTTGATCCATTCTGGCACTAAATGGCTCGTCGATTCGTTGAACAGTAGTTTTCAGTAAAATACCAAATATTCACTCGATTCGTTAAAGATGCATCATATTGTTAGAGTAATGAAGGGGATTATAGTTAAGGATACCTGTAAGTGGTTCATATGTTCACATATCTAAAACTGCCAGAATATTATAGTATGGGAGTTTTAACATTTTGATAAAACATTTTTCATGTAGTCTGTATGTAAGTTAATGGCAATACCGTACAGAAAATAGTTGTAAGGTAATCCTTTTACTTACTACAGCCTTTTTGCTGCAACGTTTTACAGATTTTTATTTTTAATTTGTTGAAACGTCAGAGTTAATACCATTCCAACTAAATATGAATTTGTCTTATTTTCTCTAGAGTCAACGTTCGGTTTCTCAAAGAAAGTCAGCTTTATCTAAATTTCCTGGAGTATTGGAGACATTAGCTTTTTCTTTTACTCCAACAGCTTTTCTTACTGGACCCCAGGTGAGTAACTTTTTCTGTCAGTCGATTAAAGTAAATATATTTCAATCCGATTACTATTAATACCTATCTGATTCGCTTATTTAAATCCATTAAATGATGTTTATATCCTACCGCTCAGACCACTGTTCATCAATTGATTCTTTGTTAAATACTGAGTATTCTTTAAGTATAGTCATTAAAATCGATAAATGTTGAAGCGATCAGGGTAAGATTATTTGATGGCTCCGTAGTAGTTTTTCCAGAACGTTATGCCGTAAGATTTATATTCTCAAATTAAATTTTGCTGTTTCATTTCGACAGTACAAATGATTTTGTATTGTCGATAACTATGATATGATTGACAGAAAACACTCATTTTCTTTTAAAATAACCTATATCAAGCTAGCTAATTATTCTTTTGTATTGAATTAAGGCATTTTTAGTAGCTGTGTTAAAACTCTTTCACTAGTTCACTACGCAACACTGTGCACCAATTGCTATTATGTAGAATGACAATCTGAGCTGCACTATCAAACTAGTTAACCCAAAAAAGCAGTCTGTTTATTTTGTTGTTAATATCATGACTAAGAAGTTATGCTCATTATACTTGGAATCAATCTGATTGCTTTCTTGTAGTTTTCAGGTTCAAACTTTTTTCCAGTTGCTTAATGTTACTAGTTTCCTTATGTATTGTGTGACTCAAATCTAATTCTACTAACTTGTACTTATTAAACCTCAAACTGTTCAGCTGTAACCATCTTCCCTCTAGAATACTCATATTATTTTGCAAGTGGTTACTCGGTGTATTAAGATAATCGGTTGAATTATTAAGCGGTTTTTCCAGCTAAATGCCTCTTCTCTATTATGTCAGTTTGCTTATTGTAACTTCATATAGTTGCTTGATTATAAACTGTACTTCACCAATTAAGTAGTTAACGAATATATTGTACGACCCTAATTTACTTGGCTTAAAAACAAACTACAATGGGTTAGTTTTCTAATGTTCTGAGGAATATTCACTTAATGTGCTACATCTATCCACATGCTAATTTAATATTTCTAACCAATGAGAACCAACTTGACATCACAAAACATTTGGTTTAACACTACATCAGTGACACGTAAAAAACTGCGTTTTATAATTCATTGAAATATACTTTCTACCTGCGATTATGGTATTTTTGTTTATATTTTAAGTTTCCCATGCGACATTTCCAAGCATTCATTGATGGATCATTAAGGCCAGTAGTCCTCTTAAGAGAAAGCACATTTAAACACCGTTTCATCTATAATGCCAAGTAAGTATTTATGTTCGTTTTATTTTAACATTTTTTTCATTGTCATTGACGATATAACATCTGTTGTTCGTTAAGTCTTTTAGTCTGAATAAATTTATTACAAGTTGTGCCTTAACTATCTTGATTTCATTACTAGATTTAGTGTCACTAGCTCTCATATAAAGTATTGTTCAAAATGGAGTGAAGAGATCTGTAGTTAGTTACCGAGTTGCGTAAATTGATTTTAATAACTAATCATAACTCAGTAATAAATTAAACTTGGCTACAATCTTTGCAAATATAAAAAAATATGACTAGAATATGTACTCTAAACGTTTAATCATACATATGTAGCAAAGGTTTTGTTGTGTATTAATATCATTAAACAACGTATTCTATAAAGCACATCTCATTCGTTTTAAAACTTCAAGTGTACATGCGTCTAAACCATTCACAATCTGTCAGTATCACTAAATTTTAGGTTATATATAATTAATAAATACATGAATTATTGTATCTTGGATTCCTCTAGTTGTAAGTTTTGGTTTGACGCACAAACTGTTGTTGTATGCTTCACATATCGCAAGTTATTATCAATTAAGTACGGATATATCATATAGTATTCTTCGACTTGCGGTCTATATACTTACGTCTGTTACTCCTTGTGGAGGAGCATAGACCTTTCACCATCATTCTGCATCCAACTCTGTCCTCGGCAATCCTTTCCAGTTTTTTCTAGTTGCTGTTCATCCCATTGATGTCTGTAGTGGCTTTGCTTCGTTAATCGATCACCCTCGTAACCGTCATTATATAAGCCTCAACGGTGTTTGAGATCAGAAGGCAAAGAGAAGTGGCAATTACAGTTTATTAGCGGATAGCACGGATCACAAAGCTATAAGCACATTGAGCGTATTTCAAGCGTATTGGTGAATAAGTATATGCAAGCAGTTACATAGTCAAATTGCATAAGGGCGCAGCAAGGCAAAGCAAAAGCTAATAATAATACATGAAGATAAGGATAAGTCATCGAGTGATATTTAAGCAATCAACACTTTAGCTAGAGTCTGTCATGTGATCTAGTGAGCATGACGGCACAATGAAATGTGCAAATTACTACTGTTCAAATAACATTGTCTGTAAGTAAATTAATAAAATGGCTTAACCAGAATTAACCATAATCGATATTGGTTGTAGGATAGTTGCTATTAGTCTGCTTCCGATCCCCGACGCAGTGTGTTCTTGGGTGTTCCTCTTTCCCGTTCCCCCTTCAGGATTCCAATTTAACGTTTGCCTCGTGATGCAGTTCGATGATTTCCGCAATGTATGTCTTATCCACTTCCAACTTCTTTTCCTGATTTCCTCTTCATTTGGAAGCTCCTCCACGAGAAGTAACAGACGTAAGTATGTAAACCGAAAGTCGAAGAATACTATATGATATGTCCGTACTTAATTGATAATAACTTGCGATATGTGAAGCATACAACAACAGTTTGTGCGTCAAACCAAAACTTACAACTAGAGGAATCCAAGATACAATAATTCATGTATTTATTAATTATACAATCAAAGTATGGGTAATAATAACTTGTAGAAGAGTTCCAAAAGTTCAGCTGTGCTCAATATTTACATCGTTAAGTCGATGGTGCACTACTATATCTTGTACTATATTCGATCTAAATCTCTCATTGCATCTTTAAAAAATCTAGACTTTGTCGTAGACCATAAGTTTTCGTAAATAGATTTTCTCCAAATGAATATAAATTAATCATTAAAAGTAGCTTGGGTAATTTAGAACGTCGTTAGTTGTTTTTAATCAGCTTGCTGCTAATTTTCGTACTGTTGACGTTATATTGGTTAATAATCATTTACCTTTACGATCCACGTATAAATACATCTTGTAGAATAGAAAGTAGTTTTCTAAACCTGCTCAAAATTAGAAATGTTTGAATGGATTGTGGTGACAATAAAATTATATACTATTTAAAGACGACTCAAGACGAATGCATAAATATAAAAGAAACAATACAAAAAGGTATGAAGATAATTAAAGCTAAAATAGTGAAAACAACTGTAAAAATTAGTTTTTGTACGCACATATATGGGTTTAAATTGTTTGTAACTAACACTTCTGAATTCCAAAAATATGTACCTATACACCTTTCGGTAAGTTAGACTCATTCTTATAAATAATATCGAATAATAAGCTTCTGGGTGATTTTGGTCAACTACGTGTTGTGAAATGTAAACCAATTTACCTTCATATTACTCGTTTTTTTTTTTTACCAATAAACGATTGTTCTAATATGGCTCAAATTCGTTCTCACTGTATCACGTGCATTCACTCTTCGTTTAGTTCTTAAGCTTCTGAATTACCCCATACGATTTTCTTTATTCCACCAATTTATAATTTCTATATAAGAACTTTCGATCAATTGCAGTCTTAAACCTCAATGGGAAGATACAAACCAAACAATAATAAGTGAATTTCGATAGAATAGTTTCATAGTATTTGGGCGCCGAGTTTATGTGAGACATTAAAGAGAAAGAACGTATTTTTAAAATTCAGCCAATGGATTTGAAGTAAATCCAACATTTCGCCTGGCAATCTGGTTCAGGCTTTTTCAAGGAAATATAGTCAAACATCAAAATTATCGAATATGAATGGGTACTTGGTTCTCTGGTTCACTATATACTGAATAGGTCATCCAATCAACGTTAACAATGTTTAAAGTAGGTATTTACATTAGTGTGTAAAAGACATGTGGTGTGAAATGAAATGTGTTAATATAACAGATTGTGTGTATACGCAAGTGAGAAGAAATTTCATTCACTATATATTGTCTCTGGTCGGTGAAGTTTAAGAAAATATATAATTTTTATAAATGATATGGATCGAAAATGTCACAGCATGCATAAAATGAAGATAACTAAACGAGAAATTCACTTGGTTATTGTTTACTTGAGTCAAAGAGGAAAAATGTATTTTTAACCGAATGTCTGTGTTATTTTAATGTTCCAGTTAATTGTTTTATATATTCAGATAAGACAACTGACTAGAATCGTTGAATGTAATATCTGTTAATTAGTTAATACTAGATAGACAGAATGGAATAAGGTTTTCAGGTTTACTTATTAATTATTAATTGCCATGGGACATCTAGTTGTTTTCCATCTCTCCTATTAATACTGTTTGGATTAGCCCATATATGTAGGGCTTCGGCTTTTAGTCTTTCTTTGTAAGAATTAACGCCTTTTTGAAGGATTATCGTGCCTTTGGAATCAATCGTATGACCCGATTTTATCGAGTGTAATGCTATTGCTGATTTGTTCTCTAGTTTTCTTGCATTGTCTGATGATTTACGTATGTCGTTTTTAAACATAGTTTGTGTTCCTTCACCCCAACATTCAGTTGTCCTGATGTTTTGATCAAAACTAGTAAGAATCAAAGATCGAATACACAAGGAGGAGTAACAAAATTGTGTTTATGAAATCAAATGTAGTGAGTGTAATGCAACGTATGTAGGTGAATGCTTTAATTTTTACGAATACCTACTTTAAACATTCTTAGCGTTGATTGGATGACCTATTCAAAATACAGTAAACCGGAGAACCAAGTACCTATTTATATTCGATAATTTTGATGTTTGATTATATTTCCTTGAAAAAACTTGAACCAGATTGCCAGGTCCCGACCGTAACTGCTACCTTGACGTGGTGGTCGGACTTGCCTATCATGATGGCCCAACCGAGCTATATTGACCGGAACACATGTTCCTGTAGGTTCTACCATGCCAGGCAGGTCGATTGAAGAACGGTAAGACTAAAAGCAGCAATTCGAGGTCTGAGGGCGAAGTCGTACTGCTGACTGTAGAGGGGTGTGACAGCAGTAAGGTGTTTCCGTCGGACAAATAGCATCTGCTGCGTTGTTGCCTTCTCACAAGGAAGGAAGGGGTTAAAAAAGGTTGACCCTAAAAATGTCACACCTCACCTTACCTCGCGGATTTCCGTCTCCGGCTGTAAGGCCCTTTGAAGAACGGAGCTAACACATCAAAAACCTCCCACGAAAAGGCCTTGCATGACCGGCCTCAAGCGATTGTCCCTTGGACTCTGCTGTCACGCTCCCGGGTCGTTAAGACCAACACTAATCCAACTTCCTTTTCAGGTTCCTCAAGAAATACTCTTCCACGATGTGGGCAGCCGGGAAATGACATCAGCCCTCATACCCGTAATAGTACACGAGATCATGTTGATCATGCTCTGGTGCGAGCGCGAAATTGTCTGCTTCTTACTGGACGTAGGAAAGACAACGTTAAGAAACCTCTCACGTTCCTACTCGATGACAGCCAAGCTAAGAATATATGTCAGGAACAACTAGAAAAATAGTTAGGCACCCATGTAAGTGGTGCCCACCCCGAGGCGGCATGGAATGATATCCGAAAAGATGTGGAGACAGCAGAGATGTCTGCTAGTAACGTAAACCATAAGGTTTGGGGGGAAATATTGGATCTAAGCAGCATCTACCACACTGATAGATGCTCGGAAACTCATCCCACCTGGCTCTGAGACATGAGGAAGAGCGGAGTCAGTTTAAGTGCAAACTGATGAGAAGCCTACGCAATGATCGCGAACAGTGGTGGGTAGCGAAAGCAACAGAGAGATGGGAAAGGCAGCAGCAATAGGCTACAGCAGACAACTTTCAGAATTGTCAAGGAACCCGTTATTAGGAATCCAGCTGTTAGCGGAACTATCTGGGAAAAAGATGGACATATTATTCACTCTCAATCCAGGAGATTGGATGGATATGAAGAACACTTTAGGGATCAGTTCAACTGGCCTTCAGTCACACATCGGTTTCCAACGATCTCCAGTCGTCCTAAATGGCAAGTCGATGTAAGTCCTCCAACTCTTTACGAACTTGAAAAAGTTATAAGAAAAGTAGCAGGCCCTGACAGGTTTATCCCTGAGATTTTTAAGGATGGCGATCCAGTTTTAGCAGTGAGATTGATTGAGGTCTTGGGTAGAATCTAGGAACTAGACGTAATCCCATTTGACTGGTCGATAAGGAAGGACAAAAGTTCACTTATGACAATCACAGAGGAATCAGTTTGATTAATATAGTGTTTAAAATATTAGCTTCAATAATACTTCGACGCCTAACTAAAGCTCCTGAAGAGCAGACTAGAGAAAACCAGGCCGATTTCCGACCTGGACGTGGTTGTATAGACCAGATATTCACATTACATCAGGTCCTATAATATAGACACACATTCAGACGTTCCACAATAGTAGTATTTCTCGACCTTAAGGCAGAGTTCGACTCTGTTGATCGTGAAAGGAGTACCAAAGAAGTACATTAACCTTGTAAAGGCTCTCTACTCGAACACAACTGGTAGAGTGAGAGCTTATGGCGAACTGTCATCAGAATTGATTACATTAAGTGGTGTTCGTCAGGGCTGTCCACTCTCTCCATTCTTGTTCAACTTTGTCATTGACGTGCTTTTAGAGATGACACTTTCCTCATCTAGATTTCCAGGGGTTGAACTTCTACCGGGAGGTTCACTTGTTAACTTAGAATATGCCGACGACATAGTTTTATTTGGTGAAGACGCTGACAAAATGCAGTCTTCTGACCACTCTAAGCAACAATGCAAGCATGTTCGGGATGCGATTCTTTCCCTCGAAATGCAAAATGTTGCTTCAGGATTGGGTTGCATCGACACCCGAACTAATGATAGGGAGTGAAGTAGTTGAGTGTGTCGACCGCTTCACTGTTTTGGAAGTCTCATCAGCCCTTGTGGTCTGGTGTGTGACGAAATCTCAGCACAGATGCAGAAGTCTCGACTAGCTTTTACCAAATTGCGTCATTTATGGCGTAGGCGAGATATCCATCTATCAACCAAAGGAGGACGTGTTTACTGCGCAGCAGTTCGTTCCGTCCTACTTTATGGCAGTGAACCATGGTCGGTAAGAGTGGGGGATATTTGTAGGTTACTAGTATTTGATTATAGGTGTCTTCGAAAAGATTGCTCGTATCCTTGGACCATCAAGTAAGTAATTCAGTTGTTAGGATACGGATAATAGGTAAGGATAGCAAATCAATTGATGAAGTGGTGAAACTTGATTAGTTGAGATGGCTGGAACATGTGTTACGTGTACCGAACCACCGACTGCCCCGATATGCGATATTTTATGGTGTGGGAGTAGGTTGGAAGAAAGCTAGGGGTGGCCGGACAAAAACATGGCACAAATCCATGAAGTCATTGACTAGTGGACTGAACCATGTTGGTAGATGTAGACTATCTGACTGGGATCCGCGAGACGATAGCAACCGATGGTTAGAGATCTTGAATGACATGGCTCAAAATCGTTTGCAATGGCGCAGTTGCATGCACTCTGTGTTCTCCCAAATTCTAATCTTTTTAATTTTTATGTCCTTTTTTTCTCTTTCCAAATTTATTGCACCGTATTACACTCTTTCAATAACATCTCCAAACCCTAATGTTTCTGAATACTGCCTACACTTTTACTACCTCTACCACTACGGGATTTGAATGTACAACTGCATCTCTGTCCTAATGTGGTATGGCAACTCGAACTGATGTATGTACATACGAAGTTCTACGTTGTTGCTGACTGACTGACTGAGATTGCCAGGTGAAACGTTGGGTTTATTTCAAATTATTGGCTGAATTTCACAAATATATTCTTCCTCTTTAATTTATATTTCTCAAATCTTGTCTTCCATGCCTAATCTTCTCTATTACCTCGACTATTCTGGGATTGGTCCTGATAATTTCATCTGACAATGTTAATGGAGTATGACAACTCGAACCTATGTACATGCGAGCCAGGTTCTACGTTGCATAAGATTGATTGACTGATGAACAATCCTTAAATCACAACTTCTTTAGTCAGTTTGATTTTGTTATGATACGTGTTACTTAATTATACTTCTTATGTGTAACAGGTTCCGTCGGACATTGAATCGCTTGGTACTGGGATATTTTGGCGTAGTTGTTTTATCGAAATGGTTCGCAATGTACCCTGCCGATATAATGTTAACTGATGAGTTTCAATATGTTAGTTTAATTGCACTTTGAATATACGATTAAATGGTTTATGTATGTTATTTCATATACACATTATGCTTTATGCAGTTGGGTTATCTTCTAATCTGTTTTATTTTCTTCTGAAAAGTTGTCACTGGTCTTCAATTTCATTTGTCTAAATTAAACTACCCCATCACAAGATTCTGGCGAAAAAATCTTATTCAAAACAGTTAGCACTGTAAATTATTGATTTTTTACACTTAGTTTCATGTAATATCATTTCAGAGTAAGTTTATTCGAATAATACATACAGAAGTAGCAAATATCGTACACTAAGATTTCAACAAAGGACTACTATTTTTCTCTTGAGAAGATTGTTTTGTACGGTTTCAATATCTTATTCTAATCATCTGCGGACATTCTTTGTATTATTTCATAACGCTTACAAACTATTTTGTTTTTGGCTGTATCTTGGGAGAGTAGAGGTTTGTTACTCAAATGAATGACAGGTGGAGTTTCGTTCTCCGAATTGTGTGTTTTAATCATGAAGCGTTGATTGCTCTTTTGAAAAACATAATCAGCACAAAATGTAGGTGAAGGTGAACTATTGGAGTCTCCTCAAATATGTCTGACAGTTTTTCCCGTCGACCGTTCTCTTGCATGGATATTTGTTTTGATTGTCTTCCTTTTGTCTACAATAACCAATCAAGATCGAGGTCTACATGACAAGCTATTAGTTGTACATGGAGGAATTCGAATGACTTCTGTTTGAATTTTGTACTAATGGTGTTGTTCAGAAGAACAGTGGAAGCCTCACAATCGAAACTTCCAACCTAGAGAAGGAAGCTTTATAAAAATTGGCTGTATCTGTTTTGGTAGTTGAACCGTGTATTAGTGATTAAGTCTTTCGACTTCAACTGTTACGTCTCAATTTCTCATAATTGTTAATCTATTTTGATATGAGTAGTTGAATAATATAATAAGGTTTGCAATAAAATCTACCTTTAACCACCTGGTTACAGAAATCGGCTTTGTAAATATGTTACATGAATATTTAATACTTTTAAACCCTTAAATATTTGTTTAGTTTCTCTTGTACTAAATTTTAATGGTTTTCTATCATAAAACAAATATACATTTTGTTATAGGAGCTGTTTAATCCACTGAAACATTTACAACCATCAACTCACTTCAGACTGAAGTTTTAATAATTATTTTTTCGAGAAATATCTTAAAAGTAGCATGTTTAGCTATAGATTAATGATGTAGATCCTAGGACAAGAGCTTTTATCTCTCAGTCTACTTCCAGTCTAGCACAGTAAACAAACACGAAGAAAAGTGAAATATACAAAACTAATGCAATACATAAAAAATAAGAAAATTGAAAATTGGGAAATTCAAAATACGAAATGGAGTGGATTGCAGGTATCAACTTCTAAAATTACCCTTATTAATTAGAATTGTGGGGAAGGAGAATTACTACCACGCTAGTAAAATAAATTGAGTAATTTCACTTGACGTTCTTACCATAAATTTTGAAACATCGTGGGTATTACAGCATGTACGTATTAAACTGGAAATTATTCTTCGAGGATTGTTATTTTGTCGTATCAGGTTTCTGTATTGATTTTAACATCTTTTACAAATGTTGGTTCTGATTAAAATCATTTCAGTTTCATTCATTTCATTAGCCGAAAATATTTCACACATGTACTTCTGACACATATATAGCCTCCAACTTTTTGTCCAATTTACTAATTTTATTCTGCTGTTGAAGTTGACCTATATCTGTTTATTTATGCTATGATTTGATTTAAAACTTTGAGTTCACTCACAGTTCTTATTTATACTCACCCATAATTTGCCGTACAAAAATCTAGTCAAATAAATAATTCCATTTTAATACTTTGTGTACATTTTTTCCCCATTTATTTGCTTGAGGTAACTTCTAAATTCAGGTTTATGGTCGATGGGAAATCAGTTCAATGATTTGTTTGTTAATGAAAGTCTATCACTCAAGATGGTTTGTAGTGATTCCGTATAATTTGATGGCAGCTTTCATCAGAGCCTGAGATCATATAGGAAACCATTGTAAATCAGGTAGAATTAGATGCCTATTTCAGTGTAGTTTGCGACTTCACAGTACCGTACAAACCCACTATCCTGCATATGAGGTTGGATTTCGGACATTCAGATCTCGGAATAAGGATGATACATTCAAACTTCTAAGTCAAAATACGGTAGTTTACACTTCTAATTCTATGTTAGAATTTAGGCAGTTAAGCGCCAATGATGATAGTTTTGTATCATGAATTGACGTAACAGTTAATTAACAATTAAGTTATATATATATTAGTATAGCTAAAGATGGATTATAACTTCGTACATCCTTAGATTAGCAATTAGTGGTTAGCCGTATGATTTTCAGCCATCAAGTTACCAGTTCGAAACTCCCCACCTACCACGGTTTTGGCGATCGGTTAATAGCAGAACTGGGGTTGTGCCTCAAAGCCAAGTGTACTAATCTATCTATGGTAAATAAGTTGATATATGTAGTAGTATATGTAGTATACGTAGTATATGTACGTAGTCCACATGACCGTTATAATAATTAACTGACTGCGCATGAATTCACGCTTTCATTTTCGCCTTTCATCCTTATACATTCGAATGAAAATTTTGAATTTCTTTCATGCATATTATTGAGTGCTGCTATAATCGGATGTGTTTTTATGGTGTTTTTTGAGTAATTGAAGTACAAATCAAATCAGTATATTACTGTTTTTTTACTTTGTCATCCTTTATACTATCACTTTCGTTTTTGAAAACTTTGTTTGCAGGAATGGAGTTTCATTTCACGTCTGCTTTACATGATGATATTTGGACAATTAACGTTATTACGTTATGTATCAATCTGGTTAATAGCTGTAAGCCTGAATTTTGTTTTACTTTAATAGTGATTATTTTCATTGAAATCATGAACCGATGAATGTTAGACCACTATTGTAAGACTGGGAGGACTGGACGGCCGTTTCGTCTTAGTATTGGACTCCTAGTTTTAAACAATTCGACTAATTTATTATGTCTAGTGTACACGTTTGCAACTAAATAGTATTTCGAAATTTGTTCACTAGCATATTTCGTCAGTTTACTATGATAATATTTATTTATTTATTTATTTATTTTAACACATAAATATTGGTACAAGAGAGCGCCAATATATATGCGCCACACAAAACAATGTAACTTCGAAGAGATAGAAAAAGAAGAAAAAAAAAACCAAGGAGCACAAAAGAGAACGATAACGAAGAGATTTAGTGTGGTCGTAACAATGGAACGGAAAAGTACAATCAGAAGAAATCTTTCAAGTAAGGGAGACACAACCACTTTTTATGAAGAAAGTAAAAGAAGGTTACAACAGGATCGCCACTGGCTTCTATTCTGAGCCATATCTGATAACGTCTCTAGCCACTGTGTAGCACCATCTCTCAGACCCCAACCAGGGAGTCGTGAAGGACCAACACAAGCCAGTCCTTTGCAGCTTTCTTTCATACCACGACACCATGTCATGCACTGACCACCTCTCCGCTTTTTCCAACCAGTCCCAGAGTCGGCAAATAATGCACGACGTGGAATTCTCTGGGACGACATTCGTAGAACATGTCCAAGCCACCGAAGTCGGTGTTTCAAGATGGTGACACCAATTGAATTATCATCTCTGTGTCCGAACACACGATGCCAAACCTCTGTATTACTGACATGGTGTTGCCACTGGATGTCAGCAATCCTTCGGAGACAGCGATGATCGAACACAGAGAGTCGTCTAACGTCCTCAACTCGGAGAGGCCAGGTTTCACAAGCATAGAGCAAAACTGCTCTCACCGACGCGTTGTAGATCCGACCTTTTACAGCCAGACTAACATCACGAAGGCGCCAAAGATGGCCCAGATTGGCATAAGCCACTCTGGCTTTCACTATACGTGCATTGATCTCATCACTCACACCCCCACCAGCACTTATGCAACTACCCAGATACACGAACTTCTCGACTACTTCTATCTGCTCACCATCCAGGGTGAGTACAGGATTGGAATCCTGCCAGTCTTGTAGAAGTACTTTGCACTTCGAAGGTGCAAAACACATACCATACCTACGGACACTGATTGCCAACTGATTAAGTGCGGATTGCATGCCTTGGGCATTATCGCACAGTAAGACAATATCGTCCGCATACTCAAGGTCGAGAAGTCTTTCTCCAGGTAACAGATCCACACCACCATTACTTACATTCATCAGAGCTGTATCCAGAATGTCATCGATGGCAAAGTTGAAGAGGAATGGTGAGATTGGGCAACCCTGCCTAACCCCACTACTCGAATGGAACAATGGAGAGAGGTGGTTGTATGCCCTCACTCTGCCTGAGGTGTTTTTATATAGGGCTTTTAGGATGTTAATAAACTTCTCAGGCACACCCTTCTTCAATAGACAATCCCAGAGAACAGTCCTGTCCAACGAATCGAAGGCAGCCCTGATGTCAAGAAACACTACGATTGTTGGCCTTTGATAAGTATGGCGATGTTCTAACATTTGGCGGAGGGTATCATGGACATGACAGTCTGTAGTCATAACTGGTTACTTAACAATAAAAATAAATTAAATACTTTGGTCGTGGGAAAAAGGTCAACTTTTTATGATGTTCGCTGCTTACTTTTCACGAAGTTTTATCCTGTATTCTACTAATTAAGTAGCATGTTGAACCATAATTAGAAAAGCAAACAGTTATCTTGAGTATAGTCTTTGTTGAAGTGAATTTTTTTTTGAATACATCTTATTGAATTTTCTGTGGTTATTGTTGCTTTTAGTATTCGGTTACAAGGTTTCTCAAATTAACACTAAAATCCAAAGGTTACTGAGTAGCACAGTACGTTAAACCCAAGTTTTCGCTTGTGTAGGAATATGCCAGGTGAGGGTGAACTTTTAAAATTAACACAATTTGATTGATAAGTATTAGGAGCTACCTCTATATGTTAAAAGATTCGAAGTCACTGTGATATTCTCCTATTAAATCTGTTCAGAATCTATCAGCAGTACATAAGCTTCTCTTTTTATTTGAGTGCAATTCATTTCTAGCATATGTACTTAATGTGATGTATATTTTTGGTTCACCTATTCTAGTTTACACGATTTAATGCTACTTAATTTTACGAAAAGCCCGTTTTATCATTATTTTCTCCTAAAGGAAGGTTCTTGTGTTTTAATTGGGCTTGGATGTACTGGTTTTGTTCATATTAGATCTAAAGGATCTATTCAACTTCCCGATTTTATAACAAATAAGGATTCTGACACGCTTACACGTGACGGTCCTGTTTTAAAACGTCGGGATTCTGCTGTGGATTGGTCTCTTGTAGATAACTATATCAAATCCCATGCAGAACTTTATGATCCTGACCAAGTGATATTACGTGAAGCTCCTCATACAGCCTGTGCAAATATCTCTTTAAAACGATATATTTTCGCAACAAATACTGACGATCTTGTCGCTGGTTTCAACATCAATACCAACAGATGGCTTTTAGAGTAAGTTTGTTGTGTTTCTACATTTATGAAATACTGAATCGACAGTCTGTATATAAATGAATAGTAATTATTTATTGTTTTGTGTGAAGATATGTAAAAATGGTTCCTAATATATCACATATTTTGGTACCAGCCTATATGTATCGAATGCTTTGTAAGTAGATCAGAGGTTTTTTTATTTCTGTATTTCTTTTAATGTAAAAGGCTTTTATGAAAAACTAATTATCGTGATTTATGACTTCTATTCTGTTATATTATTACATATCATGAGATTAGTATGTGTGGTTTTTGGAGCTAACTGTCTAAAAGTGATAATTTTTATTGTTTAGTTATGGTATTGGCTGTCAAATAGTCAAGGATATTATTGGTAAATTGAACGTGTATGATTTAATTGCGTTTTGTATCAAATTCCTTTTCTTTTATTCAGTCAAATGTGATGCTCATTTTTATTAGTAGTCTGGAGTGTGTATCGTAAATCGTCTGTAAAATCAAACATCTTGTGTTGTTCATTACCAGTCAAATATTAACGTCAAACTATTCGGATTCACCAATTTACATCATTTATTCTATATAATAAATATGTGATGTGCAAACTATATAATAATTCATATGATGTACCCTAACTATCACATTTTCTCTTGTACGCAAAATAATCCACTACTGTTGTGATTATTTTTTTTTACATCTCGTTCTTTATTCTACAATGTGAACTGTTGCATTTCTCTAGATATGTTATTCTTCCAGAATAGTAGAGTATGGGATTGGGTACTATCAAATGATCACTGGCTACTATGGTCTGTGCTTTGAGCTCTCTTGACTTCTTTAGTCCTTGATAAAAGGTCATTCTATTCACAAAGAAATCAAGCTAATCACTAGAACAAAAATTTCCCGTCAAGGTGATATTTGTTGAGTTATTGTGAAAAGTCATTCTGTAGCTTTGAGATTTTATAGTCATCCAAAATTTGGCATGATAATATTGGAGTCTAAGACCTGCTTATTTATTGTGTGGTCATAAAGTCGTCAAAAAACGTATACTTTATTTGTCATATTTAGGATCCATCTTTTAAGTAATCTAATCACGCTGTTATTAGGATGAATAAGATTTCCAAAAGCATTCAAACAGTTAATGAGGAGTAGATCTGCCAATCTTGATGTTTCTTATCAGACCAAAGTTTTTTCTTGAGAAAATGCTTTCTTTGTAAGGCATCTCTAACTCGCATAGAGAAAGATCTACATGCCAATCAGTAGAAGTTGATATGATATCAATGATAGTGGTAACTAGTGGATAATTATGTCATTTAGATATTCAGGAGAGTCTTCAAACATTGTACCCCAATGAAATTGATATAAACAGCTTCATCTTTTCTAAAAAATTAGTTAAGATCTAGAATTTAATATAGTTGTTTCTATAAATTACTCAAATACAATATCTTCTGACGTCAATACATTAAAAGACTTATTTTTCATCAGACACACATGTGTTTGTATGCATTGTAACTGCTGTGTTTCTCCGCGGATTTTGTAATCGTTTTGTGGGTATCGGTAAGAGTGGGTGATTAGCCCGATCTTCACCACCCGGGTTACCGCTAACGTTAGTTCATGAGTCGTTCATCCGATTATCCAGGAGGCACGACGCGAACGTGTGAGTCGGTTTGCACCATCCGTGTCTTTTTTGCTTCGTTTTTTAATGCCTCAAATATTTTCAATGTCAAGAAATATCTGATTAATTACATTTAATATGTATGTGTGTTTCTGTTCACAACTGAAAATGGTGTTTAATTCCTTAGGTGTTCTCAAATATTTAGTTGTCATTAGTTCTTAAATTGTAATTAGATTTTATTTCAGTGTATTTTTAATTTCACGTTAGTAGTAGTACGATTGTACCGTGTAAACTTGTTGGCATAGAAGTACAACTGACAGCAACCTGATTCGCTTAGACTGATTTTTTCAGACTAATCATTGACAGTTAAATGTTCATGGGGTTATGTAATACGGTTACTTCATTTTTGTAAGGCATTGATATAATACATAGAAAACAGGCACAAACATCCATACCTTATTTTTCAGCGTCTTTATAGTTATCCGTTAGATCCAAAATGATCATTGAATTTACTTGTATACTTTTGGCTAACAAAACATTGATACTAAATATGTCTGTAATTATTACTTCCTTACACTTGTTAATCCTCGTGGAGGCCGCCCACCAGTACTCTCCATCCAACCCTGTCCGGGACAATACTTTTCAGTTCCTTTCAATTGTTATTCTTTTCATATCTGCTTCTATTTCCCAACGTAGTGTGTTCTTTGGCCTTCCTCTTTCCCGTTTCTCTTCAGGATTCCAATTCAACGCTTGCCTCGTGATGCAGTTTGATGATCTCCGCGATGTATGTCTTATCCACTTCCAACTTCTTTTCCTAATTTCTTCTTCATCTGGAAGCTGATTTGTTCTCTGCCACAGCAAGTTATTGCTGTTTTTGAGTGCTGTTAGAGGTGTGAAGGCGGTTATCACTTCCCGGTTGCCCACACCGTGAAAGGGTTGTTCTGGAGTTACCTGAAAATGAAATTGGATTAGAAGTGGTCTTAGTGACCTGGGAGCGTGACCGCAGTGCCCAAGGGACAACTGCTTGAGGTCGGTCACACATGACCTTTTTATGGGCAATTTTTGTATTAGCTCCGTACATTTTAAGACCTTACCGCCGGAGACGGATATCCGTGGGATAAGGCGACGTGTGCATGTTTAGGGTCGACCTTCTCTAACCACACCCCTCCTTGTGGGAAGGCAGCATCACTGTCATGCTGGTTTTCTGAAGGAAACACCATACTACTGTCACACCTCTGTACAGTCAGCAGTACGACTTCGCCTTCGGACCTTGAGTTTGTTGCTTTTAGTCTTACCGCTCTTCAACCGACCTTTCTGACGTGGTAGGACCTCGAGGAACAGTTGTTCCAGTCAGTATAGCTCGGTTGCTTCATCACGATAGGCAAGCCCGACCACCACGTCAAGGTAGCAACAATGGTCGGGACAAGTTATTGTTATTGCTGATGATACCTGGTCGACAGACATCGTGCGTAGACAACTGTTTATAAATACTTGTACCTTTTTGACGATGGTTGCAGTAGTTTTCCACGTTCCAGCTCCGTACAGTAGAACTGCATTGAAGATTCTGACTTGGATATTGGTTGACGGTTGTTTTGAGTTTCATATGCTTTTCAGTTGTAGGAATGTTGTCCTTGCATTGTTGATCCTCGCCTTTTCATCTGCATTAGATCCTCCATGTTTCTCGGTGATGCTTCTGAGCTACGTGAAGAATTCCACATCTTGGAAAGCTTCTCCATCAAGTGAGATTGAGTTGGTGTTCTCTGTGTTGTATTTGAGGATCTTACATTTTCCCTTATGTATGTTGAGGTCTACTGCTGCAGTGGCTTCTGCTACATTAGTTGTCTTCACCTTCATTTGTTCGTGTGTATGGGATAAAAGGGTCAGATCATCTGCGAAGTTCAAATCGTCTAGTTGATTCTGATCTGATTATTGTATTCCGTGATTTCCCTCAGATTTGGAGGTCTACAAAATCCAATCGACCATCAGAAGAAAGAGGAAGGGGAGAGTACGCAGCCTTGTCTGACTCTGGTCCTTACTTGAGATGTATCTGTCAGCTGTCTTCCATGCATGACTTTGCACTGTAGTCCGTCGTGCGATTTCCGGATTATGTTTACAATCTTCTCAGAAACTTCATAGTGTCGAAGAAGTTTCCATAATGTTTTCCTATCCACATTGTCAAAAGCTTTGTCATAATCAAGAAAGTTGATGTTTAGTGACGAATTCCATTCAATTGATTGTTCAACGGTGATCCGTAATGTCGCGATTCAGCCTGTGCACGACTGATCCCTACAGCATCTGGTCTGCTGATCTCGAAGTTGGACTTCTGCTTATTCCTTCATTCGATTCAGTAACACTGTTGAAAACTTTTCCTGGTACCAACAGTAGTGTGATACCTCTATTGTTTTCAAATCTGCTCAGATCTCCTTTCTTTGGTACCTTGACAAGGTATCCTTATTTTCAGTCTGTCGGCGGCACTCATTCTTCCTCCCAAATTTAACTGAATAGAACGTGATGCATCTCCGCGGTTACTTTCATATCTGACTTCAGTGTTTTGGCTGGTATATCGTCAGGTTCTTCTGTTTTCTCGCTCTTGTGGAACAGACCTTTAGATCATAGACTCTGGGTATGGCCCCCTAAGGAAACCACCTGCTCCGGTTTAGGCGCCCGAACAGTATCATGGCCCTCATACAAATCTAATGACAAAGTGTGGTGCATATCTGTTTGTTGCCTCCTTGTAGTAATGTTTATGTGTTTAAATAAATAAAGTAGTACTGAGCCCCGGATCAGGAGCTGCACTGATTGATGGGATTCCTATTAACGGTCATTTATGTGCTGCTAGATTAGAAAGCTGGGTAAAGGTGAGAAGAAATTGCTAAAAACTGCTGTTTCTTGATAATCCACACTCAGATCAATTTCATCCCGGACTTAATCAAATGTGCCCGACCGTTGTTGCTACCTTGACGTGGTGGTCGGGCTTGCCTATCGTGATGAAGCAACCGAGCTATACTGACTGGAACGACTGTTCCTCGAGGTCCTACCACGTCAGAAAGGTCGGTTGAAGAGCGGTAAGACTAAAAGCAACAAACTCAAGGTCCGAAGGCGAAGTCGTACTGCTGACTGTACAGAGGTGTGACAGTAGTATGGTGTTTCCTTCAGAAAACCAGCATGACAGTGATGCTGCCTTCCCACAAGGAGGGGTGTGGTTAGAGAAGGTCGACCCTAAACATGCACACGTCGCCTTATCCCACGGATATCCGTCTCCGGCGGTAAGGTCTTAAAATGTACGGAGCTAATACAAAAATTGCCCATAAAAAGGTCATGTGTGACCGACCTCAAGCAGTTGTCCCTTGGGCACTGCGGTCACGCTCCCAGGTCACTAAGACCACTTCTAATCCAATTTCATTTTCAGGTAACTCCAGAACAACCCTTTCACGGTGTGGGCAACCGGGAAGTGACAACCGCCTTCATACCTCTAACAGCACTCCAGACCTCTGGATTCATAATCGACCTCCCTCTTCAATTCCCATTATTCCTCCTACATCAACTTCAAACTCTAAACTTCTTTTTTCGGCTTCCCCCTCAAGTGTCACCGTAGCCAACGATTCTAGTGTTCAAAACACTGTCCCAGGTCTACTGAAACCTCGCTCCACACTACACATTGGAGCCTTCAACGTACGCACCCTATGTCAAATCGGGCAGCAGGCTTCCTTGGCTAAAACCTTAGAATCTCGTACCATTGATGTATGCTGTGTCTTCGAAACACACATACAGGATCCCAGTGTGGTCATTCACTTGACCTCACCTCGGCAAAACAGAGAGCCAACGAGATACACCCTCCATGTATCTGGTGACCCGATGGCCAGCTCTCGTGAACTGGCAGGAGTAGGGATAGCACTAAGCATGAGGGCTGAACAAGCACTGTTAGAGTGGATCCCTGTCAACAGTCGTCTATGTGCTGTCCGGCTAAACGGCTCCATAAGAACTCGGAAGGATAGGGACACACGTCGTTGCCTTTTTGTTGTTTCTGCCTACGCTCCCACCGACTGCAGCTCAGATGAAATGAAAGATGAATTTTACAGAAAGCTCTCTGAACTTGTTCAGAATGCTAAACGTTCAGACATAGTACTGGTGCCCCCTTGTACCAATATCTATGTGTTCAAATCAATAAAAAATAATAAAAAATTGTGGTCTGAAGCTATGTCAGCACCTCTTCTGGTTCTCACGTCTTTCATTGCTTTCTGACCTTTTCAGTAATGCAAATATGATTTATGTGGTTCTCCGTGGTGTGGTCTGGTGAAACCCATGTAGCTTATGTATGCGTCCGTGTGCGAATATTGGGTATATAGATTTACAAGTCTATCACCGTTCTCGTTTCTTTCTCCCAGTCAGTCGCTGTCGTTCCATGATATCTGCATATCCGTTGTTGTTCATTCCCACTTTGGTGTTTAGATCTCCCATCAGAATGGTGAGGTTCTTTCTTGGGCACTATGATTCACTTCAGCCTCTCATATAACTGATCTTTATTGTTGTCGTTGCTATCATTTGTGGGTGCATAATATTGGATAATATTCATTGTGATCCCCTCCTTCCTTGTTTTGAATGATGCTTTGATGATCCTGGATCCGTGAGATTCCCATCCTACAAGTGCATTTCGTGCTTCCTTGGACAGTATTAGGACAACTCGCTGAGCGTGCTGAGCACTTTCTTCCTCGTGACCAAAGTACAACAGCATCTCCTGGATCTATCCTTTGCTATGCAGCTTGAGTTCAATGTGTTTCGCTGATTCTGCGCACCGTCGATTTGTGTATCCTCATTTTCGTTGCTTTTTGACTGGTCGTTCCGGTCTCCCACATTGTCCGTACATTCGATGTACCTATAAAATTGTTGCTCTGTTTGTTAGAAGGGGCATCGGTCTCGTGACTTCCTAAGAATCTCGGCTTTTATCATAACGCGTCATAATTCTTCCTTCATCTCAGATGGCAGAGTTTAAATGGTTTGATTTGCTTAATCTGGATGGCGTTATTTAGCAAGATTGTTTTCTACGGAGTGGGGTTTCTGACCACATACCCAACCTTCCTCTTTTACCAGAGCTTGGGACCGGCAGTAGTTGTAGAAGAACTACAGGTGGAGTTTCTGTAATTACACTATCTCTGAAACGTTTTTGCAAAATTGATATTACTCACTATGAGATGACGTATTACTGGGCTTTATTATGTCGGAGTACACCTGTTTGTGATCAGATCAATAATATTTCACAGATATATGTATTTATTCAATACATAAGCCGGTAAATTTTTAATCATGTTATCGTCAAGCTGACAGAAGTTAGTTATTTAAAATGGTGGTCAAATTTGTTTTATTAGTGTTTTAGTATGTTCATTCTTTATTTAATTCTTAATGTTTGATATGCTATTATCCTAGTATTATTTATGTTCTCTCTTTTTATATTCTAGTTAATTTGTACTTGTATATACTATTAGTTGAATACAGGAATTAATCATAGTTAGGGTCAGTATCAAGAGATTACGATATAGTTTTGTTTATGGGATAGACGTCCTCTAGTAAAGAAAAATATCTCGAGAAAGTCTACCATGGTTTTTATAATCCTTGTGTTGATGATATGAACTGATGATTCTGTCTGTGATCTCTTAGTTGGTTGCCTTAGAGAATAAATGTCATGTGATTTACATTGATTCGTCGTCTGTCTATCTGGTGTTGATTTCGTGAGTCATTCTTTTTTCCTTGAGTATTCAGGAAAGATGAACCAGTTGTAGAGTATAACGTTAGACAACACTTATGGATGCGTATTGTTGTGGAGTTTAAAAGTAGGACGAAACGGCTGTCTAGATCCTCTTTTTTAATAGTTTCACGTCTGATATCAATCCATAGCGAACATCGTCATCTCATTAAGTTAGTCTTTACAACTAACTGAAACTGAAATATCTCTAAATTAATAACACATGTGCTTCATTTGAAGATATGCTATTGAATAGAAATGAAACTAGGTTATTAAGAAATTGTATTCCTATAGCATTGTTACAAGTTTCTGTTATATTTGTTGATTGTGTTTTCTAGTTATGTTTATAAACGCTTACGTTTCTTGGGCAATAAAAATTTATCTCAATTAATATCATTATTATTTTTGGCACTTTGGCATGGCACATACAGTGGCTATTATGTCAATTTTGGAATAGAATTATTAGTAGTGACAGTTGAAAAAGATGTAAGTTTTTTGTTTTATTAAACACACATTTTTATATGTTTCGCGATTTTGATTATTTCAATGCTCGGTTATTAGGTTAACTCTTTATTGAACTGCTAAAGCCAATGTTTGTAGGATAAAGTAGTATGGAGGTGTTACGCGGCGTGAATCTATGTAACAAATGTAGAAACAATTTTAAAAAATAATATTTTCGCATAATATCTAAAACTCGTATAAGTGAAGAATATTGTTGTCCTGAATACACATCGTTATATATATATATATATATATATATATATATATATATATATATATATATCCTGTGGAATGTATCGAATATTGACTATGCTTACTTAGCGGTTACGCAGTCAATATCTTAAAAACACCTGTGATCAAATTTGTACAGTCCGCATACTGTGTTATCCACTTGCAATAATTATGTTACAAATATGTGAAGCTATAAAATGTGGACTGTTGTAAAGTATTTTTTTATTTGATAGATAAGAAACATATGAATTTCTGCCAGGATTCATCGGTTGCTTATCTTTAAGAGGTGATTAAATTCTCAAGGTGATCTGATCAGCACATGAATCTTGGGCGAGTGATTTTAAAGAGCATAAGGCAATGTTCTAATCGAACTGATCATCTTTTTGCCCGCCAAAGGAAACTTTTTGCAAACTACAATAATCAACTAAGACTTATTTGAGGAAAGTATGGTTCAAACTTCAAACTACTTCAGATAGTATCACTATTTTTAATTACCACTGGTGAAAACTTTGCAGGTTCTAGTTACCTTGTTTCACATAGAATTAGTCACAATCTCAACTTTTCTAAAATCTAGCACTAATATACCATTTTTATATTTGTGTTTCTGGTATATACTAGTCTGTTGTAGTGTCTCTAGGTCATTTTAATTGTCTTTTTGAGTGTTTCACTCTAACGTTCAATCATTTAGCTTCAAAACAGAGTATGCTGGTTTATGTTTTGTCTTGAAAACAAAATGCGTATGTGATTAATCATTGTCTTCATTGTATAGTATCATCTAAAATTTAGTGAAAATTTTGATCAGACTATAATTTGTTGACGAATCAGTGAAATCAGAGATAACAAGTCTTGGATTTTGGCACGAGATGTACGTACGAAGTTCTACGTTGTTACTGACTGACTGACTGACGAGATTCACTCATGTATATAGTTAAATAGCATTTTGGCAATATAGCTGATGTCAGTTCGTGATGAAAACCCTAAGCCTAAATTCTAAATCTAAATCCTAATCCTAATTCCTCATATTAATTTATGACCTTCTTTTGGCCCTAGCAGGTAGATGGATTTTCCGAGGGTCACTTTAGTGTTACTCGAAAATTGAAAACTGAATTTTCATATTTTAGCATAGAACAATGTAGTTGCTAGTGTGACATTTGATATGTTTGTTCGATAATAGTTTTTCTCACAATCCAATGAATTTACTGTACCCTGTTTGAACGGCGGCTTGCTAATATGTTGAGGCTAATGTCCTCAATGTCTGACTCCAATAAATATTATCCCGTAAACTGAGTATTTAAGGTAGGCTTAATCTCCTAGTAGAATTGCAGATTTACTCGAGATTATTCAGAAGCCTGAACACCAGTTACAGAGATAGTTTATTGTTACTGATTAATAAAAATCCACAAGCGTACGGTGAGCAAGCACACGGTGAAACAGAGTGAGTGAGTGTGTGCAAGTGTAAGTGTAAGTCTGTGTATTAAAAATCCATATATATTTTTGAGAGTTAATCGGGTGTGGATAAATTATCGAATATCTGCACATTGCCACCAATAGGAGGATAGCTTAAGGGTTAATGTACAGACATGCATTCGATCATACACACCGAAATTAACAGTGAATTAAGAGTCTGAGTTACAACGAATAGACAAATGATACAGTGGTCAAATGGGCTTGCCACAACCTCGCTGTTTTCTCGTCAATCACATGTAACTCGAAAAAATTTAATTATCTCAAATGTAAACGAAATAAAGAAATGAACTTTTTAAAAAGGTTTTTATACTTGTTTTGAATGATGGTTCTAGAATGTGTCATTTAGTTTTTTACGTGATATAACAAAATGCTTAGTAAGTGTAGCAGAAAATAAGCTCGTATGAGTTTAACTTACCAAATTGTCTTCATCAGCGAATCCAGGATTCATGGTTTGACTAAACGCAACTAGCTACCTACAAAATATAACGTTTAACCAACGGAGTCATTCAAAATAGTCAGTAAACTGTCTAATTTTATCTCCTTAGGATTTGCGAAGGCTATGGCAATTAGTAAGCTCAAGCCTAACCTTTATATTCAAAAAATCAATGTTTAACCGTCAACTACCGTGGTAAACAAAACGAATTAATCATTCCGACCTTTTTGCTTCAATTAATTATAATGAAAATTTAGTGAGTTTAAGTCGCACGTTACTTTTATTGTTCCTAGATGTCTTGGATTACCTGCCATATTACGGCAGTAAATTATCTTAAATATGTTAGAACAATCGCACTAAACAATTCTAAAAAGTTTTGATGGAGTTTTGTTGGTCGACGACCAAACCATTCAGCTCAGAGAACAAAACTCCATCAAATCTCCACCATCTCAAAATTCTAAAAAATGTTGCAAAAATTTATTTCTTAACTTCTTTTGCATTCCAAACAAACAATTCGTTATCTTTTTTTCAAATTGAATGGTACGTTTATATTTGAATATAGTTAAACTTATTAACCTGTATGTAGTTAAAGCGAAAGCAAGGAAATACAATGAATTCATCGTATCCTGCAAATGCTGTTGTTTTTTTCCATCTAAGTTTATGAAGGGAAACAATAGCATTAAATCAGCTGACTTGAGAACTCTTTTTATTTATGGCAAGTCATTGTTTGAAATTTACGGACTATTATAATATATATATATATATATATATATATATATATATATATATATATATATATATATATATATATATTCCTTTTATCATTAGCTTTCTATTGACTTATCAACTACTGTTATACGATTTACTATTCTTAATCTGTTCCTAGTTTTTAGTTACTGTATCTCTTCTCACAACTACTTTTGGCTTATTCATGCATAACTGGTGTCTTTCACTTTATGGTGTGATATTGTCTGATATAATCGTGTATAGACTACTCATTAATAAAATATAATGTAGTGGAGTTTGGTTACTGACTTTGAAACTCAACAGACAGGATAGAGATGCTACAGAATCGTGGACCGATAAGTACTTAGCAGTAAACTTAAGATTACTAGCGCTGATTGGACGTATAATTGATGAACTCGGGGATACTAAGTCATAGAAATTGCAATTCTGATTAGTGGCTTTTTCACATGATATGGATCAGTGGTCAAAAGTAACAATTATTTTCAGTTTTTTAAAAGTGTATATCATTGCACTTCATAATTATAATTAGTATGACTGAGTTATTCTTTCTCAATATATGTACATATGCTATTGTTGTTTTTTGTTTCTAATCAGTTTTTATCTATACTGAAGAATTCAAAATACAATCATTTCTTTTATAAGACGTTTATTGGACGTGTAATCAGCAGTGTATGTGGCAAACTTCATATTTATTTTATTCTGTCTAATTCGATGGTAGCGTTTTATTTATTAAAATTTCATCTATGGTTTCCTGTAAGTGATTTTATTGTTAATTATTTCCAGTTGTCAAATAATCCGAAACCAATTTTTTATTAACTTAAGTAATATTTAATAAATAGATTTACATATTCTTTTATCCTAAAGTGATATCAGATGGGAAATCATTAGAAATTAGGGGGGTATTGTAAGGTTGTTCTGTCCTAATTGGATATTCATCATCATTGAATGAGGTATTCAGAAGATTTTTTGGGTTGTAAACTGTATTTATATAAATTTTAGCAATTTCCGAAACAGTTGCTATGTTGAGATTGAAAGTATTTTCTTTAATATTAGTTAAAGCACTATTAACTGTACTATATTAGAAACGGTTTTGATTTATTCGATCCCAGTCCTCACGGTTTACCTCCTATATGCTTGTTTTGTAACATTATCTATGTATTTTTTTATTACAATTATATATAAAGGGTTTAAATATTTACTCTATGAGAAATAAAGGTTTTTTTTACTTGTTTGAGTACAACTAACGTTGTATAGTTGTTTATTTCAAGCAAACTTCTTTGTTACCTTATATATATACAGGGCAGCCAAAACAATATGTACTGTCAATCCATATAGTCATTGTCTGTTTTACTGAACTGTGTAAGTAGGTACAGAGTACCTGGATAGCATTTGGCCATCGTCGTAACGAATTGTTGTAGATGTTGTGTGATATTGATCAGAATCGGTCACAATAGTGTGGATGCTTTCACTTTTTATCTTTTCTTAGATCTTCAGTTTTGAAATTATCTTCTATTTTGCTATCCCACAAATTCATTCTTCTCAAACCTTATTATCTATCTCCAGTCTCTTCTATTACCATTGATTTCTTTTCTATTTCTACTTTTCTGCCATCTCATTATGATGTGGAGCGTGTTGAACTAATGGACATACATGGCAAGTACTACAGTGCACATGACTGACTGATAATATCCATATAATTTACTCCGTAACTTTGCTTTTACTATTCAGGTATTGAAATCAATTTATTTCATTGGTTTATGGTATGTATTTTGGCCATTAATAAGACCAACTGTCAAATATCTACTACCACCATTACCGAAATCTCAATCAGAAAAGTCATCTCAACTTTCAACAACAATGAATGGTGACGTCACTTCCGTCATTGATCAGTTATCATCAAGAAAACAACAGTGATACGATAGCATAATATAATTGTATTTATTTCCTTACCGTGTTCATCCAAATATGTTAAATATATACATATATGTGTACGTATCTATGTGAATACGAAGATCGAGAAAACATGAAACTGTGACTATTATTGTTGACCTGTTGTGCCTTTCTTCTATCATGAGTAAATTAAGATGACAAAGAAATAATAATGACTCGTTCATATGGTACGATACTATATGAATTTATACATGTTAATGTACTGTTCATACTATTATTTCTTTTCAATTTACTCACTAAAAGGATATAGGTTGAGCACTTTTATCTTTAAATTGTTCAGCAAAGATTTTTTTAAATAATTAACAACTCATATCAACTTTAACATTTCAATTTTTATTTTTTTTATAACCGACTAGATTTTTCCATGTGTTTTTATTAAGGCTAATTGCCTATATTAATAATAATAATAATAATTATTATTATTATTATTATGACTGTTGTTGTTATTATCATTGTTATCTGTTAAATTTCTTTTTCCTTGATGAAATGAATATGATTTACTTTGAAACAACTTGCAACGGACAATGAATAGCTTTTAAGTATTTTTGCTTCTATTATTATTATTATTATTATTATTATTATTATTATTATTATTATCTTTCTCTATGCTATGTATTTTAATTTATTTAAGCATACACTGCGTACACTATGTACTTCTACTTTTGTATGTATTTTCTTTTGTTATTGGTAATCATCAAATTGTTAATTAGTGTTTCCCTCAATTCCTTGTCATTTTATTTCTTCCACTTTCTGTCTCTTTCTGTTATTTCATTTTTATTATTAACAGATCTACCTCTAAATCTACACTTATTCACTTTTTCTATTGCAATGTGATATTTTTTAAGAAAACAGTATCGCTGGCTACCAGTACTAATCATATAAAATTTCACTAGTGTGTAGCAAATTTTTAATCGAGCGATATATATATATATATATATATATATATATATATATATATATATATATATATATATATATATATATATATGTCGGTTCTGTATTCCTCCATGTTTACATAATTTTTGCCCTAAAGTATCATTTATTCATAACTGTAAGTTTTAGCGAATACCATAAATATATCAGCGAGAATCGTAGGTTATTTTCCATATTTTCAGACTTTCGACACATTTTGTTTGGTTGAATTATTGTAGGATAATATTCTTTCAGCTTTAGTTTTGTACTGTCTTTCTTCTCTGGCCTGTTTTATTTTGCTTATTTGGAGGATTTAATATCATCTAAGTTGTGAAATTATCCGATCATTTATAAATTCATGTATGGTATTTTATAATTATAACGGAAATCATCATTATACATTTTTCCTTGCTAAAATAATTTTTATATAAGATTCCTCATTTTTGTTCAAACTTTTAATAACGAATCCAATTAATTGAAAGTTTATGGGCTATTTGCATGTGCAGTCCTTATAAAATTATTGTTACACTTAGTTCAATACATGAATCTTTACTTACGCCGTAGAATGTATTACATCATATGGGCAGTCAGAATCGAGATAGCTTCTTTCGTTTTATGCACACAACTCTGTGTGGGTTATGGCCGGTTTTGTTAGACTACGAAACAGAAATTTCCCGCTTCGTCAAATATACTTGACGGTTTATGCGTTATGCGGTCACTGTGATTTTCCACACTTGATCTGGGATCAGCGTATTGCGAAGTGAAAATACGAGTTTAGGAGAGAATGAACCATTCTCTGTAGTATTATGGTTAACTACCAGAACTAAACTTAGCCTCAAACCTTTCTCGATTATTTGCTGACGGTCTGCTTCGAAACAACGGTGACTATTATTAAGCTCTCTATCAATTCAGCATGTTATATGCGTATCTTATGTAACGCAGTCTGAAATGATGAATAAAAATAACAGTCACAGTAAAATCCAGAGGATAATCTCGTTTTATAAAAAAAGTTAATGATATGACGAATCTATTGACTATATGAAGGTAGACATGACCATTATTTCGGCCTGTGATCCACTCATTTGATGTGACAACGTTAAGTATATTTTCGCTATTTCTTGAGTACACATATACCTTAGGATAAGTTTTTAACGGTCCGAAGATCGACATCCACTTCTAAGCCAGTTGGTGCGCGACAGTCTCAGATCTTGTGTCCAATTTTTTATGAAACTATTTATGTTTTTATAAACGGTCTAGAAAAATGTTGGTTTACATTTAAGTTAATTGGGTTCTGTAGAAGAAACTACAAGTTAAAAATCTCTACGAAAATTTACCAGTCATTTAGAATCACCACATCTGAGCAATATGACCTGTTCAATGAAAGGTCCTTGGTCTAAATTATACAGCTTCAAAGTACTTTTTGAGTTACTCAAAGTTGGAAATCTCTCTTTGACAGTCATATACTGTCCAATCCTAAATGTGTAGAGAAAATATTTTTAAAGTTACCGAGCTTCTCTCCCGTATACCAGATTTTGTGCAGTTTAATATTCGCATAATATCTGATACCGTGATCGTGATTCTATATTTTAAATATTTAATTCACTAACAGCCCAATGTGAAATCTTTTTCGCATGTTGTTTCATGAATTTGCCTAGAAATCCTTTTATATATGTTTCCCATGTGACAGTATTTCTTTGTTTCTCCTTACATGCAACGTTGTTCCCACAAGTCTCTACTTATGTATATTGTATTTATATTTTAGTTGATTTTAAAATAACTGTTTTCTCTTAGTTTATGGAAAATACTTTTATGACTGTTAGTTTGTTTCTCCTGACCTTGAATTTTGGTGGCTACTGTATTCGGTAACCGTATTCCTCGCTATTCTTTTTTACTGCAATTTATTTAACCTATACCCAACGGTTAAAAACTTCGTTTTCTACTTGTTAGGAACGTTGTTGATAAGTAATTAGTTGTGAATCTCGACTTTTCATTTAATTGTTACATTATATTTTGATTACTGACGTTTGGAGCAAAATAATTTTGCTTGTTTGCTTTTTCGGTTAGTACAGCGTTCGTTGCTTGACGCGAACGGTTTCTTCTATTTGACGAATGCTAAGTCCATGCTTCTTAACTAATTAATTATTTGATGTCGTATGGTTTGATTACACAAGGTAGTTTTACAAATTATTGAATGTTCCTGTTGTAAAAATTATTGTTCAGGTTTATATTTGTACATATATTAGCTTTGACAGTACCGTTTTTGTACCATTTTGTACACTTTTATCTGCAGTTATTGTCTGATATCATCTTTTGATGTATTTGAAACGCGTAAATGAGGAATTCAAGGGTAAAGGATTATAGGAATTCTTGTCCTTACACCCAGTTTGTCATACTTCAAACGGTATTCAAAGTAATGGTTATATTTCGGAAGCTAATTTTGTCAATACTTTAAATTACCGTATTTCATTTGAAAATTTCTAATCAAACACAAATATCTCAATCACTTTTTTGATAGAATATCAGTAACAAACATTTAGATTGATTTGATTTGCCGTACCCTTTTCTAGCACGTTTTTCCAAAATTTTCCAAAATAGTTATCATTATAAAGTATACTATAATTGTTTAATCTCATAAATATTCGTCTAATAATATGTAGGGGTGAATATATAGTTTTATTATTATTATTATTATTAATACTAACTTTGGTAAGCAAAACAAAGTTAGAATCTGTGGTTGGTTTATACAGAATTGAATGTTTCAATCAATAAATATCAGTTACATGATGAAATTATTACTGTATGTTTAAATGAATTCAAGAATTTATCTGAAAAATCAACTAAATCAAGCGAAGAGAGCTAGAAAAACTGTTGTCCTTGAAATCACGAATGACAAGAGGGAAAACACCTGCTTTATGCAGGGATTAATTAGTAAACACAACAGATAATCATTCACCCTACAATGTTTGTTGCTCATTAACAATCGTCACGCATGTAGAATATCACTGATGAATTACTAAACTCCATAGACCAATTTCTGAGTGTATATTTCCACAAAATCATAGACTATTTAATTATAAGTATGAAATTCAGGGACCAATTTAGTGTTTATGACAAATAAAATATCTTAATATGCTGTTATTGATTTTCAGATAATAATATTGGCATATGTCTTTGTTGTAGGCTGTTCTCTTTTACTTTCCTTTGTGTCTGTCACCTGTCCATGTATAAACAAAAAGTAGACGAAAGTTCCACTTCTTTATGAGAATTTGGCATATCAGTTTGTATATAGCTTCAATACATACAAATTCAACAAGTAAATCAATGAATTTGTAAGATTGATCTGGAGAAAACTAAAGGTCCTGTTTGTTTACAGGGCAGATATTGAGTAACCACAATGAGATTATTTCCTGTTTATGTTTTTTTCACAAAAGTGTGTCGTTTTCATAAATGTATAATATTAACAATCTACATTATGTAACAAAACGCTGTTTACTTCATCTATTAATAAAGAGCAAATAGGGAGTGAAAAATTCAAGTCTAATTTCAAAGCAGCAAAACGCTGTAAATTTGGGATGAATTAGAAATTCAATACCGGAATATTTTTCAACATGGCCATTTAAGTAAAAAAAATACTCATAACTGTTTTAAATCATTGTTACGATATTACTAGCAGTTCATGCTTGAGTTCTAGCAGTTCTCAATCGTGCTCAATCATCTTCTATTGTACTCTGTGAATAACTGCCTTACATGAGATGTGATTGAATCCCGCTGATCATGGCTTTTCACCAGAAATCAGGACATTTTCTCACAATGACATTCAGTGATTTCCACAAAAACCCCATACTTATAATTTATATACTATTCCTAGCAGATTTTGATAAAAATACCAAGATTATTTCAGACATAATGCCAACATTATATATGTCCGTTAAGAAATGAGATAAATATTTAATGAGGTACCAATCATCATTCAACTCCATCACAATGCTAGGAAAGTTTTTGTTTAAACAAGTTAAGATTCCCGTAAACAGAAGCCATATTTATAGTTTCTAAATAAATAGAATAGAACAATGTTTACTGGTGCATAGATAATTAGTGCACGTAATTTTTAAGTATATCTTACATCTTATTATTAACATTGATTATACGTTATGTGAAAGGTAAGTAACTCATTAGTAGCTTTCAATTGATTTGGTTTTCAAGGATTATAGTGGTCTCATACATATCTTTGTGTTCCTACTTTTGGTAAATTATTTATTAATACAATTGATCTACAAGTTTTATTACCAACTAACTATACCATCTAATTATAAGTTTATCAACCTACTAGAATGAGAGATATAATAAAATTCAGAAGTTTCTATTTATGATAGAACCTTGTATGTGTAATTTAATTACTAGGTTTATAGTATCCATAAGTAATGTACACCAGTCCATTCTGTTTTCAATAATATCACTGAATAATGCTACTACATTATATTTATGATGTACGAAGGTGCTTATCTTACTTCTTAGGTTTCTTTAACAGATATATTTAAATATTTGGTTTTGAATTTCTATGTATACTAATTCAAATGCAAAACTGAATAATTTAAAATCGTGTGCTTACCCTATACCGTTCCTCAAAACTTTCCTTTGAACATTTGAAGAAAATGTCGCTCTGTTACTCATAATGTTGACAGCCATTAGTAGTATATGCAGCGAATCTATTGACTCAGTTATAAATATGTTGTTTGGAACCTAAATTTCCAACAAGATGTTCTCGGAAAAGTTATTTCGTTTCACATGACCGTCTGATAAAACTTTTGGTAACTGGAATAAATTTAGAAAGTAATTTGCAACTAAGCTTTATAGCTTAGCAGAGCATTTGAAAAGCCACTTGGTAGCGGCTTGTTCATATCATGCATTATTTATTCATTATGCAGTATAGTTAAGGAAATCTATGTTCGCACTTTTCTAATGTATGTCAAGTTCAGATTATAATATTCAGGACTGTAAAACTTTATATATTCACACAAAGTTATATCAC